TGTTCCACATTACAAGAGTTAATGTTTGCCCTTCTGGATCTGGGACTTGCTTTGGTCCCAGTGCTTTGTATCCTACTGCTGTGTGCCTTGGAGCCAGCAGAGTATGGACTGAAACCTCCACTAACTGTGAGCTAAATAAACCTTTCCTTCCTTAATTTTGGGTATTGGTTATTTTGTCCTAGCAATGAGTAAAATGTAACTGAAACAGGAGCATTTTGGAATTTTAGATTTTGAGTGTATGGCTGAGGGATGCTTGACCATGTCACTGGAGAAAGAAACCACATGCATCAGGGGCTGGGCAGACATGGCAGGATGAGCAGCTCTCGGGCACAGCAGCTCTGGCCAGTGGCAAGTGATGACTGTACTCATAGCTTCTGAAGACCAGGAATTCAAGGGACTAGGTAGAAGGTGCTGTCAGGAGTCAGCTGGGCTGTAAGGAAGAGCAGGAGGATGCCCCAGGCTGGGCAAGAAGTGGGCAGAACAGGAGGTGCCCACTGCACCCAAGCCAGAGTCTCCAAGTTCAGCCAAGCCCTGTGCCAGCCAAGGGCTCACAGACAGGAGCCCTGGAAGCCCTCTTCCTATCTCTCTGCCATCCCCAAACTTGGTGATAGGACCAGAGATGCAGGAGTGCCCCGTCCTGGCCCTCCCTGTAGAAGCCCTGACTGGTCTGCCTCAGGAAGGAGGACAATCTAGGAAGAACTTCCACCAGGAAGAGGCAGTTCTGCCTCTGCTAGCTGCAAGAAATGCAATGACAAGAGATGTCCTGCATGTGCACCCTCCAGGCAGCCAGCTTTACACATAAGAGACAGGTGGTAGACTCAGGGAGGTGAAGGCATGTGACTTAGCCATCACCACAGCCTGCTAAGTCCTCTCACAGGGTGGCCTGACTGGGCTCAGCAGCCGGGACTCAGTTGCCACAGCTCGTATTCTTTTTTGCAGCCCAACATGGAAAGAACCTGCTAGCTTGTGCAGGCTACTACAGGGCTGGATCAGGCCTCCTGGCCCTGGCTATTCACCACAGATGCCTGCGCAAGTTAGCTAGCAAGATGGAGTTCCATACCTTGTCACTGGAGTGACAGTTCTCACTTGCACCACACCCCATCATTTCGGAACCAGTTGGGTCCTGTCCAAGGGGAGGGAAGGTAGCTGGACTGCAAGCTCCTGGAAGTTAGGGTCATGGGGGATCTCAAGGGGCCTACCCAAGTCACACACAGCCCTGGAGGATTATGATCTGTCCCTCCAAGGCCTTCCCTCTGAGGCTGTCCAGGCCATGGGAAGTGTGGACAGGGCATTGAGGGGGCTCGAAGTAAGAAATAGTGGATGTATGGAAGATAAGGAGTGTGACCAGGCCCCCACCAGGTGCAGAAGCCCAGGGTGGTCTGAGCAGGTTATACACAGGAGACCACTGTCTCAGCTGCACTTGGTGAGTCAGGTCTGCTGGCCTCTGGACCCTGCTAGTATGTGGTCTTATTTATTAGTGACAATGGAGGTGGTGGCAGCCAGGGCTGGCCAGGCTGGATCGATGGAGCACCAATACAGGGCGAGTGTGCAATCTAATTGCAGCGCATGCTTGCAAGGGCTCCCTCGTGTCCCCACCCCCGAGAGAGAGCCCTGTTAATTATGCAGCTGTTTGCTCCCACCCTCCAGGCTCCAATGCGGGTGGGAATCCCCCTGAGGTTGTTATTAAACTGGAGTGTTTAATGAAGTGCTAAAGAGGCCATTTCCAACAAGCGCTCCAAGTTCTGGCTAATGGGACAAGTCCTGCTCAGAGCTGCAGGACACCCCAAACCCTGGGAAGAGGAGACCTCGTGGGAGTCCACACAGGTAGGGGCAGCCCGCAGGCCAGCCAGGTGCCACACAGCCATGAGGGTGTCTGGGCACCTCAGAGAACCCACCCAGACCGGGACAATGCCCTTCAGCCCTGGCTGTGTCTGGAGGCAGCAGGGCCACCTCAGCCCTGTCCTCACACCCGCCCCTATGGCCAGTATCCCTAATGCACTGACCTTAAACGCTGCTTCCCAAGCCCCTGGCCACTATGGAAGTGGATTTTCATGCCCAAATCTGAGTATCAGAACCTCCTGGCCCAGAAGGCCCAGCATCTACTTCAATTTTTGTTGCTGTCAGTCTGAAGGACTGGACCTAGGGCCTACTGAGCTACATTCCCTCCCCTTTTTACTATTTTCTTCATTTTGAAACAGTCTCACTAAATGGATAAATTGCCAAGGCTGGGCTTGAACTTGCGATCCTCCTGCCTCAGCCCCCCAAAATGCTGGGATTACAGGTGTGCACCACCACGCTCAGCTCTCATTAACATGTTTGAGTGGCTTATTCAGTGTCTAATGTGTTCCCAAGGTTTAGGATTTAGAAAGCAAGGAAGGGCCAAAGTCTGCAACTACATGAACAAAGACCTGGCAGCAAGTTTCATAATGGCCAGGACTGGGAAACCAGCTGCATCTAACCGTGAGTGAGTGACCGGTGCCTCAGGGTCCACTCATGCCGTGGAGCAGCACACAGGAGAGGGAAGCATAGTGGCGGCTTCCACAGCCACAAGTGGACCCAGACATGGAATGTACTGGAAGGAGCCAGCACACAAAAGGACACATCTGGCTCAGGAGGCTCAGGACAGGCAGTGCTGCTGTGGACACATGACTCAGGAGGGGTTGTGGGCCTGGAGGAGCTCAAGGAAATCTGTGGGGAACTGACAACATCCCGCCGGTGGAGGCAGGTCACCAGGGCATGCGCTTTGGAGCACCACTGGACCATTCACATACTCTGGGACACGTGGGCCCCTCCTGTGGGATGCTAAGCTTGACATTGTCTACCTGCCTGGCTTTGGGATCTGCCAAGACAATTCTGGGTGTGTGCTGGTGGGTTATGGAGTGTGGACTTGGGTACTCTAAGTAGTCCCTGCCCCTTCTTCCTGGAGCTATTCCCCAGCTCTGCTTCCCAGCTACTGTAAACTAAACAGCTCTGCTCCACCAGGCCCTTCTTCCATGATGCTCCTGCCTTAGAGTCAGTTAACCATGGACTGAATCCCCTGAAACCCTGAAGCAAATTAGATCTCTCTTCCTTTGCAGAACAGGTGGTTGTAGTGTTATACCCATCGATGGAACAGCTAACTAATGCATTCACTAGAGTTTGCCTGACTTTTTTTTTTTTTTTTTTCAGAACCGGGGATTGAACTCAGGCCCTTGCACTTGCCAGGCAAGCACCTATTCTACTGAGCCATCTCCCCGGCCCTGCCTGACTTTTTAAAGGATCTGTAGTACACTGTCTAAAGCCAGCCAGCTCCTTTTTACATCAACGTCAATGCCATGGTTTGCTAAGAGTCCCTAACCGGCAGCACATATTGTGTCCTCACTTGAAGAGTCAGTTGGTAAACTGGGTCAGGGAACAGAGGCACAAACAGGATTTATAAAAGAAGCTGGAAAAGGAGTCAGAGGGAGGGTGGCAGGGCTGGTGTCCCAAGCTAGCAATGAAGAAGCAGGGTCTGCCAAGTAGGGTGGTGCATACCTGTAATCTCAGCACTCTGGGAGGCTGAAGCAGGAGGATCACAATTTTGAACCCAACCACAGCAATCTAGCAGCTTCGCCAGGTACTGTCTTGAAACAAACAAACAAAAAAGAACAGCCTTTATGTATACATGTATTCCAGAAACTCTGCAATGTTTCCTTACACAACGTAAGCTTTACCATTCTGACTGTGTTGCAGTGGGCAGTTGGGTAGCAGTGAGCACATTCATGCAGCTGTGCCACCGTCGTCACCCTCCAGGCCCAGAACGCTCCTCTTCCCAGTTGGAAACTGAAGCCATTGGAATTGACTCCACCCAGACCTCACCGCCTTGCTTCCTGTCTGGGTGGATTTGACTCCTTTGGGGACCCAGGAAATTGGATTCACACAGGCCCTATCCTTTCAGGACTGGCCTACTCTCCCAAGCACATGGCCTCAGGGCCCATCCCCATTGTAGCAAGTGTCACAATCACTTCATCTTTTAAGGCTGAATACTATTCCATGTCCATGCACCACTTTTGTTAGCCAGTCACCTATCCTTAGACACTTGGGTTACTTCTACCTTCCAGCTATTGTGAACACGGCTGTTATAAGTATTGATGAAGACTGAGGCAGATGTCACAAGAACTGAGTCCTAGGAGCATGAGGCTTATGGGATGAGTGAGGGTCTTCAGCCAAGTTGGAGCTTTGACTGAAAACAGCAAGAGATTGATCCAAAGAGTGACCACATAGCTGCTCCCCAAACCCAAAGAGCCCCAAGATTTTAGTGATTATCTGTGGTAGGTAAAAGCCCAGTACATCATTTTTGCTGACGTCACAGTTCCAAAAGGTATGTTCACTTGTGACAGAGTTGGATCACCTGTGGTTACAGCTAACCTGCCCTAGAGGCTGTTGAATATTCATGTACTTAGCACTGTCACCTGCACAGTCCTGCTTTGTGCCTTGTGCTCCCTGGTTGGTGGTTAATTGCTGAGTTCTGATTCTGGCTGGGGCCACCCTCCTGCAGGAACAATTGGGCCTGGTGACAGCACTGTAGGCCACCTGCTGCCAGAGCTGCTGAGGAGGCACAAGAATGAGGTGGAAGCAGCCCTCACCAGACCTACAGACAACAGGCCAAGCTCACCCAAGAAAGATAAAACCTTTCTTGTCAGCCGTGGTGGTACATGCCTGTAACTCTAGCATTCAAAGTTTGAGCCCAGGGCTGAGGAGACAACTCAGTAGCATAAGCGCCTGCCTGGCAAGTGTAAGGTTCTGAGTTTGATCCCAGGTACCAAAAAAAAAAAAAAAGTTGGATCCCAGCCTGGGCAACTTAGCAACTTAGTGAGGCCTTGTCTCAAAATTTAAAATGGGGGCCAGGGAGATGGCTCAGTAGAATAACAACCTGCCTGGAAAGCTCTTGGGCCTAAGTTCAATCCCCAGTTCCGAAAAAAAAAATTAAAATGGGATCTTCCAGTTTCAGGCACTTGGCAGCCACTGTTTACAGTGCAGTTATGGCCAAGTCTAAGAACGACACCACCTATAACCAGTCCTGGAAATGGCATAGCAATGGCATCAAAAATCCTCGGTCACAAAGATACAAATCTCTGAAGGGGGTAGATCCCAAGTTCCTTAGGAACATGCATTTTGTCAAGAAGCACAACAAGAAGGGCTTCAAGAAGATGCAAGCAAACAATGCCAAGGCCATAAGTGCATGTGTCAAGGCTATCAAGGCCCTTGCCAAGCCCAAGGAGGTCAAGCCCAAGATCATCCCAAAGGGAGTAAATCACAGGCTCACTCAACTTGCCTACATTGCCCACCCCAAGCTTGGGAAGCATATCCATGCCTGCATTGCCAAGGGTTGCAGGACTTGCCGGCCGAAGGCCCAGGCTCCAGCCAAGGCCCAGGCTCTAGCGTCTGTTCCAGCCCAGGCTCCCAAAGGTGCCCAGGCCCCCATGAAGACTCCACAGTAAAACCTTTTATCTGCTGATGTAAAAACAGGACTGGTGTGACCCCTGAGGTGCCATCAGTCAGTGGTTGGTATCCTCCTGTGCTCTTTGTACAAATAAACCTGAGGCAGGATTTTTAAAAATTAGAATGGGACTGGGCATGGTGGCACATGCGTATAATTCCAGCACTCAGGAGGCTGAGGCAGGAGGATTGTTGTGAGTTCGAGACCAGCCTGGCCTACAAAGTGAGCTCAAGGCCAGCCTGTACTGTATAGTGAGACCCTGTCTCAAACACACACACACACACACACACACACACACACACACACACACACACTTAAAAATGGGACCTGGAGTATAGCTTAGTACAGACACTGAGGTCTATCCCTAGCACTGCAGCATGTACACACACACATGCACACACCTGCATGTACACACACACACACACCCCTTAAATGGTCAACACATGTACATGCAGAGCATAGTAAAATTCGACCCTAGGGTTAAGACAGTAAAGGGGATGGACATAATACAGAGGCAGATGCCAAGCTTTTTGTCCTGTGTTAGTCACCATCAGACATTTACAAGCACAAGTGAAACATCAGGGTTCTTAGCAAAGGCGGCCTCAGAAGAACCCTGGGCGAATGTTCATGTAACCCACATGTCAGAGGTGCTGGCTGCAGCGGAGGTGGCGGGGAACTCATGATGCGTCCCCTAGCTGTGTGGCCTCCAAACTCAGTGATTTTAAATTTACTAAGCACAAATGAAGATAGAAGGATTATTTAGGTGCTTCTTTTGTAACCATTTCTCATCCCATGCACACATTCCGCTTCTGTGGTTTCTTTGGGGTCTCCCAGCAGATCTTCCCTGAAACACGCCATGCCACAGAGGGGAGAGTTCACTGCACCCACGCATTCATCACCCCGGCCTTTTGTCCCATCACTGTTCCAACATGGTGGTCCCTGCTTTCCTAATTGATGGGCAAATAGCTGACCCTCCACTTTCAACTCTTTTGGGTCTGCCTAGAAGTAACTGTGGTTTATGGGAATTATTATTGGTTTGCTTTTTTTTTTTTTTTTTGAGACAGGGCCTAAGTTACCTCACTAAAGGCCTTGAACTTGTGATCCTTCTGCCTCAGCCTCCCAAGTAGCTAGGATTGCATGTGTGCACCACCACACCCAGCTTATTCTAACTTTCTGAGGGGCTGCCACACTGTCTTCCACAGTGGCTGTGCCACATCATGATCCAACCAAGAACACACAGAGTTCTGATCTCTTTGCATCCTTGAAGTCCCTACTTTCTGACTTCTTGATAACAGCTACCCTATTGGGTAGGAGGTACTGACTTTATTTTCCTAAAACTTAGTGATGTGGAGCATTTTTCACATATTTATTGTTCATTTGTGCATCTTCCTTGGAGAACTGTTCTGTTTTGTCCTTGAAGAAGGGTCTGTGCAAGGCCTCTGCCCATTTTTAACGGAACTGTTTTGTTGCTGTTGAGTTGCAGGACGCTTTATGTATCCTGGATACTGGCTCCTTACCAGACATAGGAGGGCCAAATGTTGCCTCCCACTCTGGAGGTTACCTTGTGGCTCTATCTATAGTCCCCTTCAATGTCTACAAATTTTACATTTTGAAGGAGTACAACTCATCAGTTTTTCTCTTATTGCCTCTGCTTTTGGTGCCAAACCCCCAAGTCATTGCCAAATCCAAGGTCACAAAGACTTTCCCCTCCTTTTTCTTCTAAGGTTATTATAGTTTTACTCTTCTGTTTAGGTCTTTGATCCTGTTTGAGTTAGTTTTTGAGTATGGCCTGAGGTAAGGGCTTGGTTTCCTGCTTTGACAGATGGAGATCCATTTTTTAAAACAATCTTTTATTTATTTATTTGGCACAGGGCTTTATGGTGCAGCTCAGACTCATAATGATCCTCCTGTCTCAGCCTCCCCAGTTCTGGGATTACAGGCATGCACCACCATGCCCAGACTCGTGGCCAGCTCAGTGTGGCACTGGTATGGCATGCGGTACTGGGGATTAAACCTGGGTCTTTGCACTTGCCAAGAAGGTGCTTAGACTGCCGAGCTATCTCCCCAGTCCCAGTGGTCCATTTTCTCGGAACCATAAAGCCTGTTCTTTCTCTAACAAGTAGTCTTGGGATTGTGGTGTTTTATATTTCCTATTTAATTTCATTCTAAAGAAAGAAAGAATTTAAATTTAAATTATTAACACGAACTTCATTATCTACCTCTATGGCATACAGCATAGATTTTATTTTTATTTTATTTATTTTTTGGTTCTGGGGTGGAACCCAGGGCCTCGTGCACACCAAGCACATAACCCACCACTGAACACCCCCAACCTATGACTTGCATGGTGCACAAGTAGCCACACCCACATACCTCTGCCCACCTGTTGGCCACATGCCTGCTTGTCCCTTTCAGATGTGATATCAAAAACACAAATTCAAAGTCTGATAGTCCGGATTGTAGTGTTCCCCTGCCTTCCTTCCTGTACCCCCCTCGATGACCATGGTCGTGGACATTCAGTTCTCCTAGCTCTGTAGAGTCCTGTGGACTCATGACCCTAAGTGAGACCAGCCAGGGAGGATGCCCACAGGGGAGGACACTCACCAAGTTGCAAGGGTATCCCATGGGAAGCAACTTAACCATGGTCTGAAGGTGACCTGGCCATGGTGGGAGAGGGCCGGCCCATTGCCCTCCCATCTTTCTGGCTGTGACTGGGTTGATTCTACCCCTAGCCTCTCCTGG